ACCCCCCCCCCCCCCCCCCCAAAAAAAAAAAATAGAACAAACTTGAACAAGGAAAACGTGCCAATAGGCCTATGAACTATGAAAGTTCTGGTTGTGGCTGTGGGCAAATAGAATTATGAATAAATATCCCAATTAAATTCATTGGCCAACAAAGAGAAAAAAAATTAACACCGCTGCCACCAGTTGTATTTGGGAAGAAGTTCCTTGTTACGTTGGATCTCCTCTCTCGTTTTCTGCGAGTTGCACCTCTTCGAACAAAGCATGGAAGAGAGGTTTCTATAGCATTGAATGAAATTTTGAATGGGGAGAACTATGCCGAAATATTCCGCGACAAGGGAAGTGAATTTCGCAATCGTTTTGTTGATGCTGTGTTGAAGCATCGAAATTTTAAGCTATACCATTCAGATACTGGGATGAAAGTGTCTCTAGCTGAGAGAGTAAATAGAATTATTCAGCAAAAGTATGACTATGGAAGGATAAAGGGAATTTCATTATCATTTCGCGACCTTCCCACATTAATCCGCGAGTTACTGGTGCATCCCAATCAAAGAAAAGCTGTGAGTACTATTCACTCACACGATTATTCAGTAGCAAATGACCGTAGAGAAGTAAAGGATTTACTTCTCTTGTCTCAAACAACGAGTGCGAGGGAGGAAAAAAGAGTCCCGCAAATCTTAATGTACTTTTCTTGTACTTGGGTGATGGGCAGCCGGCAGCCAGGAAATGTGGATGATGGAGGTGAAGCAGGGCGTGCCGAGTTTCAGTGCAGTTCCTTTCCTGAAAATAAAAAGACATCGTGCTCTTCTTTTTCCCTATATCCGATAGGGAAATGCACACGAAACTACCTTTCTCATTGGCTGCGAAAACTGCGCGTTTCTCGGAGCATCACGATGTCTCAATTAAGGGGATATGAGAAGATAGTGGAAGTAATGTACCATTCGGATTGGGAACTAAAGGTGTCGGGTGGCTTCCCGAAGGTGTCAAAACGGAGAAGTCCAAATGGTCACGAAGGTTTTACCGAGAATATTCGAACCAGGCTCCCCCGATGCGAATGGGGAAAAGGATCGTTCGCTAGGGTTTCGAATTTAGGTACTTCAGCCGCAATATTTGTTGAAGAAGAAACTGGGAATCCGCAAAGAAGACAAATGAGGTTTTTCGAAAAAAGCATGAAATACAGGGTGACGATTAAGTTACTTCCCAATTTCAAAATGCCCCATCTCCATTACGGAGCGGCCTAGAAATTTCATATTCGGCACCTATGATGGGAATTATGAAAGCCAAGTTTCCAAATGTTTCCAAAAAGGTTCTGGAAATCACCACCAGAGTGGCGCTATACCGGTCAAAAACACATTCCAAAGTTGGCACATATACCAATATCCTTGGGGATAGAAATAAAGGGGAAATTCCGCAACAAAAAAAAAGACAAATTAGGATTTCCGAAGAAATGGAGGAAATATTTTCCAAGCACTAGGGAAAATCCAGATTTGCATGTTCTTCGTTGCAAATTTTCACGACGAAGAATCGAATATTTCCACAAAAAAATTTTTTAGAGCTTACTGAAACACGAATGCTTCTTCGAGTTTCTCCTGAAATTTTTCCTTGGTCTCCTCTTTCCTGTGAGTTTATCAAAAGTATGATATGACGAGGAGGGAAATCCCACGCCCGGGTATTTCAACATCCATCCAGGAT